TGGTTATTGGTCTGACCAGTACTCGACCCTTGGCCTTCCGAATGTGTCTCAATTTTAACCACTCGGATATTGTGGCCGCATTGCATAAATATTCTAAACAAAATTTCAATAAACCCAACACATACTCGTACACTGTTCTGGAAGCACCCTTTTCATTTAATTGCCATAAAACCGAAGGCAGGAGCCTCCAAAATATGCATAACTACATATCTATCAACAAACCGAATGAATATATATATTCATTTATTCATAAATAAGCCTAACATCGGCAAAGCAAGACACACGATACAAATCAGTCATATGAGGATTGTACAACGAAATGTAGGTGGAGCTCCCCGCACGGCAAGCTCCAAATAATACAATCAAAGTAAACGCATCGGCACTCCACCATGATTCCTTTGCATTCCTCGCTCATAATTAACTACACGCAAGACATATTTTACCTTGTACCTAGGAAAATCTTTAATAAATTCCTAACCCTCACCACCAGCACATACCACGATGGTATATACGACGCCAGCACAGATTTCTTACTTTCATATTCATTTTATGTGGAACTGCCCCTTATTTAGTGCGCAACAGAAATTTGGGCTAAAGTATGTAATAAATTTCCAAAGAATGACAAAGTGAAATTTTTTCTCCACATTTTTGTATTCACTCTATGTATTGGACGTGTGGCGTCCCTTACCGCGCGTGTTTTTTTAGCAGAGCAAAACCCCCTCTCTGAGACGAACTTCGGACGACAAAAACTTTGTATCGGAAGGGTCATTAAAAATATATGAGTTTCGACATGGCTGACATATAAAGGGTAATTTTTTAGCTAATATCTTTTTGGCAACACTGGTTTAAACAGCCGACGCACGTCGCGACGAAGCTCATTTTTGGCTTAATGGGTGCGTAAATAAGCAGTATTGTCGATTTTGGAGTGAAGATCAGCCAGAAGCATCGCAAGAGCTACCAATGCAGCCAGAAAGTCACAGTTTAGTGCGGTTTATGGGCTGGTGGCATCATTGGACCGTACATCTTCAAAGATGATGCGAATCGTAACGTAACTGCGAGTGGTGAGCACTACCGTGAGATGATATCAAACTTTTTTTGGCCGAAATGCAAGAGCTTGACTTGCATGACATGTGGTTTCAACAAGACGGTGCCACAAGCCACACAGTACGCCTAACAATGGACTTATTGAGAGGCGAGCTGGGAGAACATTTTTTTTCAAGTATGGCACCGGTCAATTGACCGCCTAGATCGTCGCCTTTAGACTATTTTTTGTGGTGCTACGTTAAATCGAATGTCTATACAGACAAGTCCGCTTCAATTGACGCATTTGAGGATAACATTGAAGCATTTATTCGTGAGATACCGGCCGAAATGTTGGAAAGATTATGCCAAAATTATACTAACCAGACGGACCATTTGTGGCGCAATCACGGTCAGCATTTGCACGAAATAAATTTCAAACATGAAATTGTATGGACCGTACTATAGATATTTTTTAAAAACTCTCCTATAGCTCTTCAAAAATCACCCTTTAATAATAAAAAAAAGCCTCGTCGGCCGCTTGTGCTATTCCTCTCCTGCACACTTTTCACCTGTTTTCTTCTTCGCTTACCGTGGCACGGCACAATTTCACCATGAACTATCCAAAACCAAATGTTTGCCTTCAATTTCGGGGGTTGCGCGCCAATTGGTTGGGGCTTTTCCAATTCTTGCTTCACCCCACACTCTCTGCCATTTGGAGTTAGGTCGTCGCGTGCTTAACAATAAGCCTACAGTATACATTTTAAGGACTTCGTATAAGTCATTTATATAGAGGAGGGTGATGCGCTGGCTGGACGAGACTTTGCATATATAGAAAGTAGTGACATGGCTTGGGTATGCAGGCTTTGTGAGAGCTGGCGGGAGAGGTATGGCTGTTGGTTGATGGTTGATGGCGTGGTTTACACTCGGCGCTTGCCTGGGGAGGCTAAGTACAGGCTTTGTTGTTGTAGCTTGAAAAGCAAAACAATTATTAAGCTTACCAATCTACTTGTTGTTGTTTATGTGATTGTTATTTTCCTATTTGTCGAGAGTGTGCGCATTGCACACGATGTCCTTTCCGACTTTTCCAACCCCACCACGTGAACCACCTAATGGTTAGAGCTACACATATTCAACCCTACCCGAGCTGGCACAACAATTATTGGGGTTGTGTGTATATAAAGCAGTGCCGGTGCTGGCAAAATGGGTGGGAATTCCACATGCGGAAACAATGTGAAAAGTTCGCTTAACTTTAATTGCCACTGGTCAAAGTTTTGATGAGTTTTTGTTTGTGACGCTGGCCAATGGTGGCCAACTTTATTCATTTCATTTCATTCGACGTTGGCCTCGCAAGGAGGGTAATGTTATGCTTGGATAATACAAAATGGAGCAATTTAATTTATATGAGCAAAATGTCATTAAAACTTTGATACTTGCAGTTTTATGTAAATGAAGTTTATTGGACGAAACGGGTCAAAAGGACACGCAGCTACGCTAGTGTTTTGAGCCTTAAACCCAAATTATTTGGTGGACTCCGTGTTAATTTAGTTCCTCTAGGAAATGGATAAGAAATGAAAACAAGAAAAAACAGAAATCAAATCAAACTTTATAAGCCCCTCATCATTGTCGTCGTACTATCTATATGGTGCAGAAGCATATACGATGTCAATATCTGATGCGCCGGCCTTGGAAGTCTTCGAAGGAGAGTTGTGATCCTTAGCGCATTGGCAACGACGAATACCGCAGACGATGGAGCAAACGATGATATTGACAGGGAGCAGCATCAACAACAACAGCAGCATCACGCATTGGCAACGACGAATACCGCAGACGATGGAGCAAACGATGATATTGACAGGGCTCAGCGAATCAAAAAACAATGACTAAGCTGGCTAGGTCATGTTGCGCAGATAGCTGAAAGCACTCCATCTTTGAAAGTGTTCGATGCAGTACTCACTGGTGAAAACAGAGGAAGAAGAAGACATCCACTCCGTTGGGGGGATAAGGTGGGGAGGGAGCTGGTTTCACCTTGTATTTCCAACTAGCGCCAAACAAAGGAAAGAAGAGATGTTGATTTGGCTTTAATCAAAATGAATAACAAGAAGAGCTTCCTTTAACGGTTTTTTTTGCCCAAAACCTCAATCTGAACAAATCGATATATATATAATTGGTGCTTTGTAACCACCATAGAGACTTTTCGGCCGAGGCTCCTCCTCCAATTTGTGATTTTGCGTCCAACAAATGGAGGGACCTACAGTTCATACTAAGCCACCTCCGAACGTCCGATGTATTCTCGCGGAGGGCTTGACTTCCGCTGCGAGAGGAAAACACAATCCGATAAACAACTTAAATTTTTATTTAAATTAATTTTATATAATTTTTGGATGTTGGTGCCACCGGGATATGAGCCCGAAGCTTCCGAATGTCAGTCAGTATGGTAACCACTGGGGTAAATTTTCGGTGACAATATTTATTTGTATATAAATATTTAGAATATAAAATGGCTTCAGATGCTATCTGAGATTGGGGTATAGGACGTAGAGGAGGTTCAAGAGTAGGGAAGTTGATGTTAATAATACAATTAAATGTATTCGTAGAGTCGATTGGCTCTTCATGGAGCTCGGAGTGACCCCATAGGAAAAAATTAGAGGTGGTACAGGGGGACGATTCCATTTGTTGCGTTGAGAATTTATTGAGCGCTTTGGTTCTTCAAAATTTGTGGAGCGAGGGGGTGCTCCAGTGGTTATGTAAGTCAAGCTTACACAACTTGGGACCTGACGTTTTTCAGCAACTCCTGGTGTTGTTAAGCTTCTGACCAAGCACTTTGGCTCTTCAAAATTTGTGGAGCGAGGGGGTGATCCGAGGAATTATTTGAACTGAGTTGGGATGATGCATGCTTAAACAGATGCTTTTTTAACTGTTGTTGACCTGCCTTGGTGTTAAAATCCCCCCAGCACATTTTTGAAATCACTTGTGCGCTTAATGTGCTCCTAGAAAATTCTTCGATCACACTGTCCTTCCTCAGAGTGTGAGCGCAAATCAGTTATATATTGAAAGCTCTCGCTTTCGTGCGCATTGTGGCAAAACGCTCGCCGACTGGGGTGAACGATTGTACCTGGCGGCGAATCTCTCTCTCTCTCATTACAAATAAAAAAAATCTTCTTTAGTTAGCGGCTATAATAGGACTACCCGTTACCGTCCTTGTCCTATCTTTTGCCTCTCTTGAACAGCGAAAATGTCAGTCTCAATTACCCGCACGTTTCCAATTAAAGGCCCAAACTCTAATTGTGGAACTCTGTAAAGTTGTCGCGGTCTATGGATCTTCTCATCCGAGGCCATTTGTTTTTTGTTTTTATTAAGCTAGTTTTTTTAAGTGACCGGTCGCTGCGCGAGGAGGTATAAATTCGAAGCTCGAGTTGTTTTCTTCGCGACCAACGTTGGCTAGCAGCCGCACGTCTGGTGACCAGCCATAGACTTCAGGAGTGGTGCCATCGAAGCTGCGACCGAGGCTCCACATGAGTTGGTTACTTCATCTTGCAAAAGATCTGCTCAATTTTGGATGTTTGGCGAACCCAGGCTGTCAGTACGCGATGCCAACCACTCGACTGTTGCGACCGCGTAACCCAGTAACTCTTGATTAAGTACGGGACAGGAATAAATTTAAGTTGCTTGAGCTTTTTAAGCCACGAAGCAGTGCTTGGACGGGAGGAATTATTTTACTAGTAGAAATTGTGGAAAAAGTAAGCCCTCATACCAACATTTGTGGGTGATTTGGGCAAAACAATATCTTGAGACCAGATTAAAAGATTCTATTTGGAATACACTTGTAGAGCTGGCGTAAGTTGGTTTAATGAGGTCCTCTCAGTCACGATATTTTCTAATCATCCACTTGCGATCATCATACAAAAACATCTTTTTCTTATTCTTCCTTAAAATAAAACAACAACTCATCATCTCATCTCCCTAATTTTCATTTCCAGCGATCGGTTCCCATACTACAAATCAAACGATGATCGTTGGAAGAATTCGGTACGGCATAACCTCTCCATAAATCCACATTTTCGCAAGGGGCTCAAAGCCCCACAAGGAGCCGGACATTTATGGACAATTTCCAGCGGAGATTCCGCGGAGAATGTGCTGGCGTGGGAGCATGTAAGTACGAGTATTTTTCGAATGTATGCAAGTAATAAAAATAAAATCCTTCTTCTATACATGCTCTTCCACAGAAGAAACAGCGACTGGACTTATTCTTCAAAATGGAGTCTATGAATCGTGAACGCCTGCAACAACATCAACAGCAATTGCAACAACATCAGGGCTGCACTTCACCGCATCCGGATTGCCAACAACAACAACAGCAACAGCAGCATCAACAACAACAGCAGCATCAACAACAACAACAACAGTCCTGCGTCTACGACGAAGCTGCAACAGCAGCGGCCACCATCGCACGTGAATTATTGAACAACAACGCCGACGATGGCGGCAACAACATGGCGGACAACAACAATCATAGACTGGAGAGCACGCATTTGGTGCATGAATTGCCATTCAACGATTTGATGAGCGATGAAGAGCTCCGTAAGACGGCTGGACAAATACTCAATGGCATTCATCGGGAAGTTGAGGTGCAATCGGTGAACTCGATTATTAGCACCTACCACGATGTACTCCTAGATAATGGTGAGTAATTGCGGAATGTGTGTGTGTGTGTGTGTGTGTGTGTATATATGAGTGTGTCAAAACTAAATATAATTTCCATCTTTAACCACCAGAAGACTACCTTAATCCCATACACAAAGATGTCGCTGTACACGAGAGTGGACTACGCAGCACGAACGCAACACAACTCCCTACCAGCTCCTACATACAAGCGCACAATTCAACAAGCTCCCAGTACTATGTCACTGAAATCGATCCGCTGGAATTGGGCATACAAATGTCACATCAAGTGGGCGCTGAGGAGGTGCTCTTCAGTGATGAGTTCAATTTGAATTACTTTGGCTATAATGGCGGCAATGATATTGTTGCTTGACCGCCAGCATCGGCAGCGTCAGCGTCATCGTCATCGTGTAATGGCCCGGTTGACACAGCGCCGATTATAAGTGTGACTGCCGTAGCGGGTCGTGTCAGCTCGATTGCGGCTCTCGATAATGGCTCACCTTCAGAGCACTTGGGTAGGCGATCAGTTGTCCAAGCCTACGGTCAGCAAAAGCAATAGTCGAAGTATCATAGTTGTAATGTTAGTACTATATTATACGAGTATGTAGTTGGTATGTGTATGTGTTAAACGTCTAACAATCATTTCTAGTCACTAAATAATGAGCCGTTATTCGAGGCTACAATTTACCAAAGATACATATAAAAAAATTAGCAATTTAATAATAATCAAATTTTGTTTTAGACCAAATCTGCAAAAAAAAAATGTTCATGTGTGAGTTCTTATTTGGACACGATATTGAAATGAGATTTCGAAGAAGACGTGAAGTGTAGATTTACTTACTTAGATGTTAAAAAATTTTTGTAAAGGCTTCATATTGTCGGCTGCAACAGCTGTTGGAAAACACTGTATCTTCTTAGAATCGTCCCCATCCCACAGTTGGCGATTCTCCTTAGAGTTCTTAGATTCCCTCGTCATATTAGCCCAAAATATGGAAACTTCGTGAACTGTATGTCAACTAACTAATTAAGCGTAAAGCGATTTTTACATAACCCGCACGGGGACATGACGAATGATCTCATGTCATCCAACGTCGTCTAAAATTTTGTCTCTTTAGAAGGTTTTGTCAACGGATGCCACTTTTATCTGGGTGGGCAACTGAAAATCAAAGTCCTCTTTGGACGACGATCGCGGTAGCCGACTGCCATTCGGAAGGCTCGGGTTCAAAGTCCCGTGCGACCAACATCTAAAATTTATAGAAAATTGATTTATATAAAAAGTTAAGGTAATTCTTCTAATTGCGGTCGCCCGCCGGCAAGAAATGTTAAACCCTCCAAGTGTATTTCTGACATGAAATAAAGGCTCCTCATGGAAAACCATCAGTCGTTCGAAGGCGGGTTGGTATAAACTATAGGTGTCTCCATTTGTTGGAGCAACATCAAGTCGCAAACCACAAATCTGAGGAGGAGCACGGCCGAAAATCGCTTCAGCGGTTACAAAGCGCGACCTGTATATACATACAAGTATATATAAATACGAATGGGCGACGGTAAATAACACAGACGATGAAACCAAGAGATGAAGGAAATATACAATTTCAGCCGAGCTCCTCGGTTATCGTAGTCGCAATGACATAGTTCAGCAATTAAGAGACAGCGGCTCAAATGTTAGAATGGGTAAAAATATTGCTCACTGCTCGCTGCTCGCCCTGGTGAAAGCAAAAGAAAGGGGAAAGAAATCAAGGATTAGGAAAATCGGCTACCTCCTTCACCAACTGAACGAACAAGTACCGGCTCCATCTAAATATTGAAGCCGTTCACTATGAAATTCTCATTTTAAATTACCCAAAGTTACTGGGAGTGACAATCGACAGCCCATACTACATTACATCGCATACGACTGCGATTGTCATACAGAAAAGACATTGGTCGCAAGCTACCAGACAATTATCGATGCAAAAAATTACGCCGCAGCAATTTGAACACCTGGAACCACTGAAATGCAGATAAAAAAGTTATAGGACTACAATAACACCGTCTTAAGGACCATAAAAACTCTGCAGACACTCGCTCGAGGCTGAACCACCCCCTACGAATATTAGAAAGGAAGTTATTGCTTTTATGGACTCCATACAGCAACATATCAAAGAACCACGTCCAACTGTCAACAGCTCCCTTAACTCACTTCCAGTGTATAGCGTTATCAGAATTCAAATACCACTTAAAGAAGACAAAGAGATGAGAGCAACCTCGTGGGACCCGAGTAATACGGGCACAATATGGTCTGGATATTGTAGCAGATGCAACTCTCACTGGACTTTCGACTTACGTATGAGCATATAGTATACGAGCACGTAATGTAATAGTATGCGGGGCTACTAAAACCCACTCCTCCTAACACTCCTCTCCGCCTGGTCGAGTCCGTCGTAATAGTACGTCTCTTGAGCTTTGATGAGCGGAGAACTCTAATACGATATCCGCTGAAGTCATTTTTGACCTAGTTACTCCTCCAGTTCTTGGTGGGCGGCTTGATATTTTTCGATGGATTTTTATGAAGAGCTTTGATTTCATTTCAAAAATACACTCGGAGCGGTTGACACTCCTAGCCGAGGTACGACCATGATGAAAATTAAATTTCTATAATTTTGAATGTTGTTGCTCCTACTGGGACTTCAATCGTATAGTCTAAAGCGAATTTGGGGTTTCTCTCTCACTTATTGAAACCAAAGTTTGGTTTAGTGAACCGTCTCTATCTTACCTGGAGAATAGCCTGAGGACACATTTACAGCATTCGACTAAATGTGTTCTTCAGCAAAGAACTAACTCCATTCGCCTTTAGAAAACAACATAAAGAAATGCGGTGTATGCAGTGTACCATTTTTATTATAATTGACTGCAATTCAGTCATAATTGGATTATACATTGAGTCAAACAATTAAACTTATAAGATTTTTATTAAAAAAGTATATTGTAAAATAGCAAATACCGAATATGGCATTGCAAAAACTCCTTCAACTGCCCGAATATCTTAGACAACGAATTAATCATCACTTTCTTCAAATGTTGGACTACTGGGCGAATATGCTGGGCTAGTTGGGCTGTATCCTTGCGATGGCGCCGTTGGTGAATACATCGGCGAGGTTGGCGAGTAATTACGCGCCGTCGGGGTGTATGTCGGCGATGTCGGTGAATATTTGGTGCTACTCGGTGAGTAGATCGACATATTGGGCGAATAGCGTGGACTGGTAGCCGAGTAACTGGAGCCAGTGGGACTGTATTGATTGGCCGGCGAATGTTGTGGTGAGCTCGGCGAATAAAGCGGCGATGTTGGCGAGTACTTGGGCGAAGCCGGCGAGTACTGTGGTGAACCTGGTGTATATTGCGGTGAACCTGGTGAGCCATCGTATGATGGCGAGGGTGGTGAATAAGTTGGTGATGTGGGTGAATATTTAACACCCGTTTGCGAGTATGCCGGCGATGCTGGCGAATAGTGTGGTGACGCCGAATAATTGGGAGATGTTGGAGAATAAGATGGCGTAACTGGTGTATAGTTGGGTGACGATGGTGAATATGAAGGAGACGTCGGCGAATAGCAAGGCGACGTGGGCGAGTATGATGGACTCGAGGGCGAGTACGATGGTGAAGTCGGTGAATAACTCGGCGAATTGGGCGAATAATTCGATGATGTAGGCGAATATGCACTGCCAGGCGAATACATATTCGTGCCACTGCCCGAGAACGACGGACTAGACGATTGGTAATTAGAAGTTGGTGAATAAACTGGTGACGTAGGCGAATAACCGCTGGTCGATGGTGAGTAACCAGTTGATTGTGGTGCAAAGTTCGGTGTAGTTGAGTAACGTGGACTTGTGGCCGGATAGAGTGGACTTGTAGGAGAATAGTTCGGACTAGTTGGTGAGTAATTTGGTGAAGCAGCGCCAGGTGACGAAGCAGTATAGTTTGGACTTGTCGGCGAATACGAAGGCGACACGCTAGGTGATGGTGGTAAATATGGTGACATCGAAGGACCCGGTGAGCTAGGCGACGAGCCAGGATGTGCTGGCGACCAACTGGGGGACATGCCAGATGCATCCGATGCAGCAGATGGTGAAAAACTTGGTCCACCAGGTGTCATACCGCTCACTGCAAATAAATAAAACATAATCAATTAAATTAGATATATTTTAAGAAATAAATATATACAAATAAATAAACAAAATAATCAAATATTCAAGGATATAAAATTACAACTTACTTTGACCGGATGGTGAGAAGTAGCGTGGTGTACCACACTGTACCCATGGTGTCATTGGTGGCGTCATACTGGGCGTAGCACCTGCGCCAAAGAACATGGCCGAACCACCAATCATGCTCGAACCCAATGTGCTTGGTATTTCAATGCCATAACGACACTTTTCAGCATCCAACAACAAATCGAAACAACCTGTAAATTAAAAGAAAGACATTATTTATTTTTCAACGCTAGATTTTCGTTTTTTTTTTTTTTTTTTTTCCAACATACCTGTGCCCATACGCGGCAGCTGTCCCATAATAATATTTTCCGACACACCTCTCATGGGATCGGTTTCCGCATGTGCAGCGGCGTCCATCAATACATCCACAGTTTCTTCGAATGAACAACGCATAAGCGCACCAGTGTCCTGTCTGTTGATACCGTGACGTGTAATAGCCATCAAATGACCCTTGGCTGTCATTACGTCACATAACAAAGCCAAATGACGATAGTTCACGTACAAGCCGTAGAACTGTAACACAGCATTCATCTCCTTTTCAACTGATTTACGCACAGCCTCTATGCCCAATACTTGGAAAATTTCACAAATATCATTAGACGACGTACGCACCGGGTCCACATCACGTTCGGAGAGTACTTTCATCATTGATGTACCATCAGTTTCCAATAACCATTCGCCAATGGCCTTAAATTCACCAGTGTCAGTGATAACGATGCGTTTCTTACTGTCCGTTTGCGGCAAGTGCATATACACTTTGCCAATGGCTTCAATGCCCTGCAGTGTCATGTCTGACAGCATATTTGCTTCGATGCAACGCAGGAACATATCGTCTTCCATTTTGTCCACAGCTTCATCTTCGTCTTGGAACTTGGTCTCCTCGTTGTTCATGATACGTATACGAAGCACCAATTTGTCTGCGTTATCATCATTGAAAATACAATTCAAATCGTCACCAAAACCAGCGTTGATTTTCTCGGCAATTTGTTCCATTGTCAATTTTTTATCTGTCATACGTTTACGATCCAATTCAATACGGAGTAACCAGGGCGAAATGCGAGTGGGATCGAAATCAGGCATCTCATAGTAGACATTAACAAATTCTTGATCCTCCGAGATGACTGTTCTTTGCGGATCGGGATCATAGTAAATTGCCGTATTGGCTGTCACCTTACGAAGTGTGGTGTGCTCCAAGCGACACAAAACATTCTTAGCCTTTTCAGCATCTCGCGCAGCACCGCCTGTGAGGAATACAGTAAGTGATGGAGCTTTTGGCTTCTTGGAGATATTAATGATTTCCTTTAGACGTGGCACACCCAATGTTACGTTCTTCGACGATACACCAGCAAAATGGAAAGTGTTGAGTGTCATCTGGAAATTTCAGAAAATAAAAATATTACAATTTTAGCAAAACGGATTTATGAAAATATATTTTAAGGAAAGCAGTGTCCTAACTTACCTGTGTAGCAGGTTCACCCAAACTCTGTGCGGCCAAAGCACCCACCATTTCACCAGGATTGGCCTGCGCTTGCTGGAAACGTGTTTCAATTTCTCCAATCAACCATTCGAAAGCTTCGGTTGACAAGCGGAACTCCTCCGCAACATATTTCGTACAAAGTGTGGATCGTACAAGACATTGGAACAACAGTGTGGCGTTCTCATTTGCCTGTTTGGAGAGATGATCATTGCCCACCACAATGACACAACGCTGCAGTAGATCGCGTACACCATTAATAACGCGCAGAGGCGATAGATCTGTGGGCATACGCTTGTTGATATGGAAAATCTTCTGTACATTCCAAATCATACGCTGCAAGTTACACGGCAATACGACCTAAAAAGGGAATTAAAGAATATAATATACAAGAAACTATAATTTAATAGCCTAAAAACACCTACCTTTGAGTCACCGTTAGGGAAGATTTCACGCAATGCCTCGCGATCCCGACACAGCTGATCCCATTCGATTTCCAACTCTGGCAACGCATTACCGCTCTCACTTAGCTCTTTGATCACATCATCAGTGAATACCTTACGCATATAACGTTCATTGGACCAATCGAATTTGAAACGTTTTTCAAAAGCTTTATTCGATAACTTGACTGTGGGTAAATTTTGAAACTCTACAGTTTCACCAGCCAAACCGTCCTCACCGTAACGCAACTGAATCAATTGACCCACAGAATTACGTACAGTACCATCGTAGTTAACCATAACAGACTCCATAGCCTTTATGAGACGACGCTGAATATAACCGGTTTCAGCAGTTTTTACAGCAGTATCGATAAGACCTTCACGACCACCCATAGCGTGAAAGTAGAATTCAGACGGTGTTAAGCCGGCAAGATATGAATTTTCGACGAAGCCGCGAGACTCAGGACCGTAATCGTCTTTGATGAAATGTGGCAATGTACGTTTACGAAAACCGTACGGTATACGTTTACCTTCGACGTTCTGTTGACCTACACAAGCAATAACCTGGGAGATATTAATATTGGAACCTTTAGAACCAGACACCACCATAGCCTTTAAGTTATTGTACTCAGTCAAGGATTTCTTAGCAGAACCACCAGTTTTGTCACGAGCATCGTTAAGAATACGATTTACTTGATTTTCGAAAGTCTGACGCAAAGTATTACCTATAAAAAAGAAAATGAAAAATTTCAAATTATTAATTAAAAGAAAGCATTTAAAAAATAAAAAATATATTAATTAATAAAAAAAATATAAAATATAAAAAATAATAAAACAATATAAAAAATAATAAAAACAAATATAAACTATAAAAAAAATTTTAAAAATAATAAAATAATATAAAAAAAATAAATAATAGCAAAAGAAAATATATGAAAAATAAAAAAATAAAAAAATTGCAAAAGAAAATATAAAAAAAAATAAAAAATAGCAAAAGAAAATATAAAAATTAATAAAAAAATTTTAAAAATTAAAAAAAAAATATATAAAATAATAATATAAAAAAATCTTAAAAAAAAATATTAAAAAAAAATTAAAAAAAAAAATTAAAAAAAAATATAAAAAAAATCTTAATAAAAAAATATTTAAAAAATATTAAAACATAATGCTAAAAAGATATTAAAATATAATAATAATAACAAACAAAAAAAAAAAAGAAAATAGTAAAAAAAATAAAATATAATAAAAAATATTAAAAAATTATTATAAAAAAAACTTTTAAATAATAATAAAAAAAATTAAAAATATAACAAAAGATATTTAAAAATTATTACAAAAATTTTTTGCATTATTAAAAATTAATAGTAAAAAAATATTCAAAATAATAATAAAAACAATATTTAAAATTAATAATAAAGATATATTAAAAAACAAAAAATGAAAAAATATTTTAAAAAAATCAAAAATAATGAAAAAATATTAAAAATTAATAATAAAACAAAAATTTTTAAAAATTAATGATAAAAGTAAAAATTAAAAACTAATATTAATACAATAATTACATACCAGGCGTTGGTTCAAGCTCCATGTTGTGCGCCTTTTGAATAACGTTTATGACATCGTCTTTAGCTTTCTTGATTGCCATCTGAATTTCATTATAGGTCTGAGGATCAGCAATGGTATCACCAATTCCGATACTGTGACCTTCGAGCAACAGCCAGTTGTTAATTACAGTCTGAATGTTACCATAGAAACGACCAGCTATTTCATGACCCAATTCCAAAAAACAAATATGCAATAGAGAACCGGCCGAAGTACCCAGTGTCTTCTTACACAAAATACCCATGATCAATTCGCCGTGTTCGACCATTACTTTTGTGTCACCAGGTGAGATCCATTTATAGGGTCCATCATCTTCATCATCTGGATGAGTTGAATGTGTACGTATCATGTTTACATTTCCTGGTATAATTAGAGAGAATAATTGTTTGCCTGTCCACAGGGGTCGCGGTTTTAATATACACGGCTGTGGCACTTTGCCATCCCAAGTGGGTAAGAACATAAGTAAATTCATCATTTGTTCACGCGTTATAAAAACATCACGTTTTGTCATTTTACGCACAGCCGTTAGCGTATCTTGTACAATACCCATGACAGGTTTATTAGCCTAAGAAAGTAGAAAAATTCTCGTTACGTCATTTGATACAAAATGTACAAAAAAAAAGTATATAAACCTGTGGCGTAATAATTTGTCGTGGTGTCACGTGTATATTCTCCACCTCAGCACGAGTTTCCATAGATTGTGGCACATGCAAGTTCATTTCATCACCATCGAAATCAGCGTTATACGGAGAGGTACAAGATAAATTCATACGGAATGTCGACCAGGGCAATACTTTGACACGATGACCCATCATACTCATTTTATGCAGCGTTGGCTGCCGATTGAAAATGACAAGATCGTCGTCACGTAAATGGCGTTCTACTTTATAACCACATTGCAAATGCAAATCTGATGGTTTTGGGTGGAAACGCAAATCGATACGTTCACCATTGTCTCGTACAATATACTTTGCACCGGGATATTGTGAGTTACCACGCCGCACCAATTCTTGCATGCGATCGATGTTGAAGGGTGTGACTAACTCTGGAAATGTTAAGTTTTGCGCAATGGAACGTGGCACGCCAACTTGATCGATACGCAAATTCGGATCTGGTGTGATTACAGTACGTGCAGAGAAATCTACACGCTTACCCATCAAATTACCTCGAATACGACCTTCTTTTCCCTTCAAGCGCGCTTTAATAGCTTTAAGAGGTTTTCCGGATTTTTGCATAGCTCGTGGCATACCGGGCATGTCGTTATCGACCAATGTGGCAACATGAAACTGCAACATTTTAATGTTTTCCTGTATAACATGCGCTGCTGCACCAGTACCTTCATTCTTTTTTAGCTCATTGTTAGCTTTAATGATATCTGCTAGCTTATGGGTTAAATCATCTTGATTCTTAGCTGCGCCAAACATAACTACAGCTGGACGCACGGCCAATGGTGGTACAGGCAATACGGTGACAATCATCCAATCGGGACGCGCATATTTCGGATCCATACCGAGAATGAAGCATTCTTCATCTGTAATATGTTTCAATATTTCCCAAACTCGCTCTGCTGTAACAATTATTTTCTTTTCCTGAAATTGTTAAACGCAAAAAAAAAATAGATGAGAATAATATAAAAATCTTATAATTCATTACCTGGGAGTCCTCGTTTACATGCTTCCACTCGGCTGTTAATTCTAAGCCACTACGTCTTAATGATGGCTGGTAATGACCGCAACCGCCGTGGCCTTGTTTTTTGTTCGGATCGGTTTGTTGTCCATCTTTTGCCATATCCATATCTTCGCCACCTTCGCACACGGTTTTACCTTTGCATAAATCATATACATAAGCCAGACGTTTACGTGGCTGTCCCTTGGATTTCATAACAATTTCCTTAATTTTGGGATTTTGTGGCGATACCAACATTTTTGAACAATAAAAGCATACACAACGTAATATTTTAATAGTTTTCGTTATAAAACCGATGTGAAAAACTGGTTTAGCCAAATCAATATGTCCAAAATGCCCTGGACATTCTGTCATATTTCCAGCACAAGTTTGGCAACGAGAAGTTCTGTCAATTACTCCTTGTCGGGGATCCATAAGACCTCCTAACTTTGGACGTCCACCTTCCATAGTCTCAGCAAATTGTACACCACCTTCAGTGACAGACATCCGGCGCTAAAAAAAATTAAATTAAAGTTATGGTGCAATTTCAAGATAATTGATATATGTATATATACTATATATTATAGGGGTATTTAAGAGAGTTAATACTTACAATTTCATCAGGTGATAAAATTCCAAACTGCACTCGCTTCACTTGGCGCAGGGGCGCCTTGGAATCATTTGTAGCCATTTTTTAAACAGCTACTTATATCAACAGTAAAGTTTTTCCTCGAATTATATCTATATTTCAATTTCGCGAACAAATTAGCGATCCTCTGAAAGCTAGTGTCAACGAGCCAGCCACTCTGTCTTTTTTTTTGTCAGCTTCGTTCGTTTCGACGTCACAGTTTCTACCGATGAAATTCACAAATTGTTCACTTTTTAAAAAGGCAAAATGCACAAGTGCGTGACAAAATTTTGTGCGCACTAGTGCCGCAACACTTCCCCAACTATTTTCAACAATTTTTGTTTATATTTACGCTAAAAATATGCTTATTTTGAAAAAATAGCAGCACGCTTTTCATGTTACTCTTAGCCGTGGCGAAAAGAAATAAATGTTTTCTAGCGGCCATGGTCGCATTATTACTCCAAGTGCACAGAGTCGTATTTTCAGACTACTGCAGAGGGCGCTGCATACGCTTTGGCTCAGAATTACGTCAGTGTAGCTCAAAATGCTCGTACATAAACGTAACGTTAAAGTAGCGCTATGTCAATTAATTTTTATAAATGAATATACTTGCTTTTTTAGACTAACTTTTTGTAAGCCTCATTAATATAATAGAATAGGGAGTCTCCTTCAGGCAATGAGAAAACGAGCCGACTTCATTTCTTATGGGAAAGATAGAGACTTTCATAGTTGCTGTAATATGTTTTTGCTGTTTACGCAAGGAGTTAAGGTCGTTGTTGTTGTTAAAAATGTTAGGTAAATATTCATGCACTTGAGAGACTACCTGCTTATAATTTTTTTTATTTTGTTTTAGTATATTTGCTCACCCTCATGTGTATACATATTCCAGAAACAGGTAGAAATTCGCAATAGGTCCTAAAAGCAACCCTGTTATTTCGTAATATATAGCATTAACTGAACACACGGCCTCGTAAATGTAAATAAACATGAACTAAAAAAATCTAATAATACATTTTTATTTCATTCTAAGTCTATTCGCAATCCTTTATGAGATTCTTTAAAGATGTCTGAAACTCCAACAATCCCGGCAGCTTCATCAGCAGCCGAAAAAGATTCCAAATATAAAATGCAAGGTATATACATAAGTTCTAAATTAACAAATAAAATTTATTTCTTACTTTATATCGTGGTGTAATAGCGACAGCTTTCCTTGGACTGGTTGGCGGTGTGTCTGCTATATTTGGATTTTCTAAAACACTCGGTAAAGCAAAAGAATCACAAAGTAAATTGGTTGAAAAAAGTGGACGTGAGGCGGCTGTACTACTCGAAGAAGGTTCTGCTTTGGCATTGCGTGCGTTGGGCTGGGGCACTTTATATGCTGTACTTGGAACGGGTATTTTCTGTTATGGCGTTTGGAAAATATCTGGAGCAAGAAATGTAAGTATCTTATGTCAAAACGTTTAGGTAATATATAACATTTTTTGTACGTATATAGATGGAAGAATTCCGTATGAAAATGGGAAGTGGTCTACCGAGAATCACGAGAGATACCCCACCTACCACTCGTACTGACTTTGAATCACTCACTGACCTTATGAAGTATCTTGCTTCAGGATGTAGGGAGTAGTTGACAATACTTAATTATTAAATGTACCATTTTAGATATAAAAATTAACAAATATGTGGTCATCACAAATATAATGTAAAATGAGAAATACAGTTATTATTTATTTGCCAAATTTTCTTCAATTTTACCTTCTCTTATTAAAAATGCATTGTAATCACATACTTCTATCAAATTTTTTTGAACTACTTCAAATCGAGGGAAATCATATTCCAAAAATATATATGCATTTTGACGAAATTCTACAGAGTCTCGAAGGAACCGCTGCAAATCGGGCGCCTTTTCCAAGTAAGCACGTTTCTCATCGGACAAAATTGATTTGTCAATTATTGGGTGTGGTTTTAGTTTAAATTCCTTAAGCTGTTGAATTGAATCACGCCAAAGCGAACCCCACTGTTTTATCTCGTCCTGCAGGCGAGCTTCATAGCTACAGTAAAATGAAAATTAATAGTAAACTTGTAAAGAATGTTTATAACGTACCTTTTAATCTCGGCATCTGTTTTATCATCTAAGTCTGAAAAATGCATAGGTTTCATTTTTAAAGTACAAGAAACCCTTGCATTCATACATACCATCGTTTAATGTTAAATTGAAGATGCTTTTGGTTATGCTTACTCCATTTGAGACTTGATTTACCATAGACTCGTCTAATTCCACTGTTGTCTCGGCCTCCGTATCCGTCAAAATCGGAGCCTGCATATTTTTATTACTATTTATGTCCTTATAAAAGGTTGTCTTGCAATAAATCCGCAATTTTTTTACGCAAATCCCGGCTTTTTCTCTATTTTGAAAACCCTCTTCTTTTTATTACAAGCCATTCACCATAGACATATCGTCGATACGTATATACATACACACATACGTATGTATGAGACAAACGCATGATTTTTTTTGAAATTCTATTAGAAAAACCAAAGAACGTATATTAATATATTCACAGTTCTTACTAATTTACGTTCTTTGCCAAAACTAATGACAGAATGTTTTTTTTTTTTAATTTACTTATTCCATTGTGACTAGTTCAGATAATTTTATTGCTCCTAATGTAACCTATTATTGTTTGAAGAACAAGAATGAATAAGAATTTGTTGTATTTGTAAATCCAATAAAGCTATGGAATTTCGAGTTTTAGAACTATTTAGTGGCATTGGCGGTATGCACTATGCATTTAATGGTAATATATGAGCACAGAGCAAATCGAAGCAATCATTGGAAGTTAAATTTTTTCTCACAGCCTCTTCGATAACTGGTACTATAGTCGCCGCTATGGATATTAACACGCATGCAAATGCAGTGTACGCCCACAATTATCCAAACACTCAAGTCTGTAATAACAATATACAAAGTCTGACTCCCCGCAAAATAGATCAAATGAATGTGAATATGATTCTAATGTCGCCTCCATGCCAGCCACATACTCGAGTTGGTAATCGTTTAGATATAGCTGACAACCGTTCAGATGCTTTGCAGCATATCTGTGATATATTACCACAATGCCAAGGCATACACTACATACTAATGGAAAATGTTAAAGGTTTCGAAGTTTCAGAAGCACATAACCAGTATATTGAAGCCCTGCAGGCAGCAGGATACCAGTGGAGAGAGTTCATACTCAGCCCAACACAGTTTGGTATACCGAATTCTAGACACCGTTATTATTGCTTGGCACGGAAAAAAGATTTCAATTTTCCTGGTGAACAGATTTTGTTAGAGTTACCTCAAGATTGTGATGTCCCACCTATACTTTTCAACGAAATAAAAATTCATGACATTTTAGAACCAGATGATATGATTGGTGAAAACTACTCCTTGCCGGAGAAAATATTGAGCAAACGTGTATGGTTAATGGACATCGTTACACCGGAAGCAAAGAAGACAATGTGTTTCACAAAGGCATATACGCACTACAGTGAGGGAACAGGTTCAATTTATACTTCTTTAGCAAAAGAAGAAGTAGATCTAATTTTTACGAAAGTAAAGGAAATGGAAGTTAGTGAGGGATCGCAAGATTTAAGTCTAGAGCTACTTAAAAGTTTAAAATTACGTTATTTTACTCCACGTGAAGTTTCAAGATTAATGAGTTTTCCAGACACATTTTCGTTTCCGCCTGAAACAACAAACCGTCAGAAATATCGTCTTCTAGGAAATAGCATAAATGTACGTGTTGTAAGCCTTTTAATAAAAATATTATGTTCTTGAGAAGATTAATTGATTTTTCTTTTTGCTGTCTTCCCTTTATTTTTCTCTTAACAATAAATAAAAAATACAAATAAAAGCTTACGACCATTTGTTCCATATTATAACTGAAGAATTAATTTAATTTTCTGGAAAAATATTTCTGTTGCTTAAGTTGACAAAATTCGATAGGAATGCATAATTCACAAATGAATCACTGACTTGAAACAAATTTGAAATTTTCCATAATTATAATTGGATTAAAAGTATTTAACTACTACAAATTATATATGTAACTGAACCACTAAATTCTCTATAAATACCATTCCAAATAGTAAATGTATTTCAATTTATCCATCCTTCAGTTCATTGCCCCATTCCTTCGCAATCATGTATATAGTGTGTTGGTTCAATTTTGGACCAAGTAGTGGATTCATTTGTGCCATGTAGCAGCACAACCAAAAGAGCCAGCAAGTCGCTGCAGTTAACATCATAATGCAACGGAAAAGACTTTGATGTGGTCCTTTTGGTGTCATCATTGGTACACCAATTCCAACACATGCCCAGAATGCAGTGAAAAATAATACCGGAAAGAATGCAGCGCCCATCTTTTCACAATTTTATTCTTGCGATTACTTCAGTAACAAAGAAAATTTACACTCCTTTCACACAAAGATCAATACATCTGAAAAATTTATTCACAATGACGTGTTGTCAAACAATCAGTGATGCCTACATCCCCGTCTATTTTTGCAACATCAGAAGCAGATGGCGCTGAAAGCCACTTTATAATTTTTTAAATATCGGGTCTACTCAAGAATTAGCGGGTATTGGGTTTCGAAAATATTAATATCTTTGACGTTGTAGTTTTTGTTTTTGCGAATCTCCAATTATAAGTAAGCTTTAAGGGAGTGCAGATCTTAATTGTGTCGGAATTACCCGAGGTCCCTAGGTGGTGATTCAGCCTCAAGTAAATGTATGTCGGGATACTCCCGACGGTGGCATCCCAACAGATATTACTTTCGCAGCTTAACATTATGTTCCTTTAATGTGCAAGTGATGCTCTGGTGGCATCAGGGCGTTTCCTGTCACGGTTCAAATGGTAAAGGAGTGCAGGCTGTCGAATTTAACTACTAATAACGTTGAGTTGTTAGTTGTCGGAGTTTTTACGTTATCGACTAGCAAATCGAGCTCCAGCTGGTACTCTTTCGTCCTGGTGGTGGAAAGCCGTGGATTTCTCAGCTGTGGTTTCACTTCCAAACTCTACTGATGTCTGTCGACCACTCGGGTAGCTTATAGTCTACCTTTTTAATTCCGGCCGTAATGAAGAATGCTCAAAGATCTATAGAAACACTAAAAGGTCTTGAACTAACTGGGTATATATGGCTTTAAGAGCGATTGTGATCTTGTGTACTTTTCGGAAACTACTAATTAGCTGCCCAACCCATTCGAATACATTTAGGGTGTTCAAAGTTAGATTGAGGATCTTATATAAGATATCTCCCCATATCAGTCCAGCATTAAGAAGTCCCACGTTTAAGAGAAATCATCATGAATATCTGAATATTGTTAATTTTCCAGTTCAAAAAGCCCACTGACAATGTGCAATCATATCGTTGAAGGTGCCTTTAATTTAAAATTTTATTCTTTGGTTGAGATGTATTTGCTCCATAGTACAAAAGACCTGACTTAGTTACAACCCTGTCTAAAGGCGTGGTTTAAATGCAAATCTGTCAAATGCATTTGTCACTATTTAGTTAATTGTGTTTATCCAAATTTTGTTATTTTCATAAAAGGTCTTTTAATTCCACTTTCTAGAGAATCTTTTACAAAATTTTTGCAAAATATGGAAATATGGAAACTTCTTTTTGCTGCTGTCATAGCCATATATTTTATTGGCCAAGGTAAATTTATTCTAGATTCCACGACGAATACTTAATTAACTTCTCTTATTAGTTAATTTTGTCAACGGATTGGAGTGTTATGTGTGCTCCAATCAGACAGGTAATACAGAAAAATGTTTGAACACGATTAAGACATGTGAGCCCGGTGAGGATGCTTGTGGTACAGAGATACGTTGGGGCAGTCAGCCATATTTTTCCCAAGGCGCTCTAAAGCAGTACTATGTTTCCAAACGTTGTATGACAAAACAGCAATGCCAACAGCGACGTAAACGTTATATGCAATACTGCACACATATTTGGTATGAAGATTGGTGGTGTTATGAGTGTTGTGTGGGAGATCGCTGCAATTATTTTGTGATAGTGAGTTAAATTGAATCTAAGATATTTAAAGAAGTTATAATGTATTATGTATTTGCATGCAAACCTCTACCTTTACAGAGTGGCACAACGAAGAAAGAAGTCACAGTTACAACAATAATTGGAGTCTTATTTGTGGGGTCATTGTTAAGTATATCTACATTGATTTACTAACGGAAAGTAAAATATTCATATCACGCTACGGATTTACCAAGCTGACCGAAGTGCCTTCGAAGCAACATTTTTATACATATAAATATTTACAATACAAATCGAAATAATGTATGTAAATGCCATTTCGGTAGACGAAAGTATCTAATACTTTGATTTAAAATAGAAAGCAAATTAGAATTATTCTGTTCGAAAACTATCCGTCCAATTTATATACAACTTAATCATAATGTTACAAATTGTAAAAAATATTTTATGCAATTGCTATGAAAAAGTGGTATCTAATGTATCTGTCGCATTTTAATAATGTAGCTTTTAAGTTGTCTATTTCACAAATTTCATTGAAACATTGCAGTTATTTTATAAAGTTGTATCCAAAACTTTTCATAAGCACAACATTATTTATAAGTAAAAAAAATTCTTGATTTAAGTATGTTAAAGGTGTTTAAAGTACGGCAGGAATTAACTTTTTTTACACACAATAAAAATTTGACTTTTACAACCCGAAATTAATATATTTCAATAATACTGTTATTTGTCAAAGAATCTTTGGAAAGCATCCACAAATCTCTTCCTATACTTTTGTCTAACGAAACAAGTTTTACAAGTTCCCCGTGAGTACTTACCAATGCCACCTTTTGAGTTAGGTTTAGCTACCTACTACAACAACAACCGTTAGTATTTTTATAGGTAGTTTCATAAAACTATCTTGTTACTCTAGCACGCAATCTAAAGCATTGTTTATAGCTGTCACGTACGAGTACAACGCACCTACGTAATTATGTGTACATGCAAATAACAATTTTCCTAATGTCTTAATTGCTTTACCTTCCACTGGCACAAATATACCAAACTTGGTTAGATCATTACTATGTCGAACTTCGCAGCAACATTTGGCAAGTGTCTGCGAAAAAATAATTTTATCCACGTACTTTCGTGCATGTATGTATGTACATACGAATACTCGTATAGATTTGGAATTTGAATCGTTGCAATCAAACAGCCGATGTGCTCGATACGATAATCAAACTGACCGCCAAATTGTTTACTACAAAAATAAATTTAAAAAATGTGTAAATACATATGTACATACATCTGTACCTAGTGTATAGATATTCTGTATTACACATCTAACGATTTTTTGTTTAGAATGGCAAGTAGTCAGTTATCGTTAGGCGCGGCAAATGGTTAGTTATGTTTATGGATAAACGAGAAATACCGGCAACAACCGGCCATCAGCAACAAGCACATATTGCCGGCAGGAGTTTGGATTACAAGCGGCAAGTTTGTATTTTTTTTTTTTTATAAAAGAAATAATCTTAAAGAATTTCTTTTTTGCTGATAAAGACATGAAAACAGCGAATCAAGCAGTGGCAAGAAACGTAAATCTCTGGTAGTCAAATGTACGCATGCAATGGCGAATGGATTTGTAAATATCGTTTATACTTTCCTCAATTCGCGTCTTCTCATATAACACTTGGTAGGGTAACACATAGAAGCATGCCTGGATACATAAATTTATACATATTACTTAATTAAATCGACAACGATGTGCTTACATGCAGAAAACATATTTACTTTCCACAGCTACATTTGTGCATTTTAGAAATTATTTTAAAAAATTATGTTGGTATTTGAAAAATAAAAAGTAATAAATAATCACTATACATACAATATGGCTTTAAGCGTGCTTTTTCTTCCAACTATTCGGAGCATGTAAGTGTATCAAAAATCTTACAAAAATAAATAAATAACTTATAAAATTCCACCATAACATTCCTTGGTTGGTATAATTCGTTTTGAAATCTCTCATCATTATGTCTCTCTCTAGAGACCAGTTGAATGAAAATAATTAACAAAAATGTTTCTCGTTTATTTTTCAATTCGTTTCTTTTTAATTATGATCTTATTTTAAATACATTGCAATACTATTAAAAATAAAATAATAATACAAAACGATTTCGTTTATTAATGTAATTCTTTAGTTTATTTTTAATGTTCACCAAAAATGCATAAGTAAGCATACTAAAGTTCAAACATCATATCAGCTCTGAAAGCTAAAAATGTTTGAACAAGTATTCCACTTCAGGTAGAAGTAATAAAAAAAATACTATGATATTTAATTTCGAAAGTTGTTTATAATAATTAAAAAATGTACTTAAGCCATGGTACACTATTCCGTCAATAACTGGAAAACTTGAGCCTTTCATGCTTCAGGTAGTATTTAAATGTTTAAAATTAAATCAAAACTTATATTTCATCATTCAAGTTTCGAAACAAACTTTTGCATGGAACACAGCACTCTTGTTATTATGCATAGTTTTATTTCACACGGCTATACACATACAAATTTCATATTTATTTACTTCAGATAGATATTGTGGGTATTTAATTTTATTCACATTTTATTGAGAAAAGTTATTGTAGTAATATTAAGCGGAATAGTAGTGCTTAAATTTAGGCAAACACACACAATTCACTGTAGTAATTACAAAAAAAAATTATTATTTATAGTCCTTTATGAACTCCAATTAAAAGCTAGTATTGAAATAGATAATTTTAAGGAAAATCATAATTATGTAGCTCACATACATATGTACATTCAAAATAAATCAAGCGCTTTTTTCAGTAGTTTAGTTTACTTTTTATATTAAAATTAATATAAAAAACATATATAATCACAATTGCATTTTTATGTATGTACCTTTTCATCAATGCAGAATCGAACAAAATAGATAACTATTTTTGTTTTTTTTTTTAGAAAATATCTACTTTAACAATCGATAAGTATGAGTAGAAAAGCAACAAAACGACAATTTTAATGTTATTGAAATTTTCATACATATTTCTTACATATTCTGTTGTTTTTTTGTATATTAGTGATTGATTGTTTGATTTAAATAGATTCGATTGATTGTGGCATTATTTAACTCTGGTGTCTGCATGTGTGTATGTGTTTTTGTGTACCACCAAGCCAAACTCATGTTTTTCATGCACGAGTGTATGCTTGGGTATTTGCATAAGTGTGTGTGTGGGGGAGTGGAAGCTTAGCCTAGAGCCTATCGATATGCTTTACAGCTCATCCTTATGCAATAATGTATAACGATTCTTTGATGGACCCAACTTCTTAAAACTCGATTCTGGCGGTGAAGTGCCTTTGCCTGCTTTCGCTATAGCTTCCGTTTGCACTTCATTACCTGATGGATCAGGACCGTAATGGAATTCTCTGTTCGGATCAAATGAGATGGAGAATAATCGATATGAGTAATTGAAAGAAAATATGAATGCATATTTTAATTCACCTGTGTAACTTTCCATTATACAAATCTTGTAAAAATTGCTTCAATTTTCCTGGTTGATACATATCAGCGAAATTGGGGAACATATACATGTGACGGAATGAATCGATAGCAATCAATGGCAAGTCATCTTCTGATTTACCCAAGTGATGTAAGGGATGAGCAAAACGTTGACCGTCTGCGGTAAGGAAATTGATATTCTCTGCAAAATAAAAATATGTTACATGAATATAATTGAAAGTTTTCAATTAAAGTAAAAATATTTATATTCGTTCACATACGTTTTTCATCCAGTAATTGAGATTCAATAATAGCCTTGTAATCTTTAATAGCTTCGGTATCGTCTGGCTTATGGAAAAGTATCAAAAATGGTAAGCCTTCTTCGGTCAACTCCTCAGCATTTTCAAAAGTAATTTCACGCACTAATGGCACACATTTTTCTTGTACCCAAATTTTGAGTTCATCAAAGTTTTTCAAACTGCCCGTGTAGGTTTCATCATTTTCATGCGATAAAGCAACATCGGGACGGAAAACAATGATGGGGTTGCCTGTTAATGAGAACGAGTATGAAATTAATATTTTTAAAAGTAAAAAAGATATTAAAAAAAAAATCCATATTAACTATTCCAGCACCGTAATGATTTACAGACTCGATAAATTGAAATAATAAGTTATTAAAAAACTAAATAAATATTAATCCTCAACTGCGATTATGGCTTTAAACAAATAATGATTGGAAATAAAATAGTTGACGTCTAAATAATGAAGGAATTATAATTAAAGCTCGAATAATCTCTTCCACCATATTCAAGTCAAGCATAAAATTAATATCCAAAACCTAAGCTGCGATACATATATATGTACGTATTATCTAAAATTATTAATGTTAGTCAAAAATACAAAGATATAAAATAAAACAAAATAAAAGAAAAATATACTAAACCAAAAATTACCTAATGCTAAATTGTCAATCGCATTACCTCGCTTTATATCGTTGCTGTCATCCACAGCTTATAATAGAAGGTTTCGGAAAATGAAAAATTGTTATTTGTTAATAGATTAATAGAATAAAAGTTAAGCAAAATACTCAATTTCAAATATAATTCACGCCCACTCGTTAGAATTAAAATACATATTTAAACATTAGAAAAATATGTGGAGAGTTCACGATAAGTCTCATTTATCGTAATTATTTAATTAATTAATGTGGCATTCGGCGAAATGAAAATAGAATATTAGTAACGATTTGTTAAAAAAGATCTCACCGAGGATGTTCACGCGTAAGAACAAAAACAGAATACCTGCCTTTCCTACAAATACCACATGTAAATGGCACACTAAACATGTTTATTAAAGTCATATAGAAATACGATGAATACGTTAAATGCGACCATATTGTGAACTCCTTAAGCGATTAGAATTTTAGAAATACGACTAAGTCAATAAAGTAGTAAAAAAAAAAATTTTACTCACCTGGTGGATGCATTGCCTGCGCAGCATCACCAAAACCGACATGGAATTGACAATCCTCTTTTAAATTCGTTGCCACTTTACGGAAAGTGTCATATTCTGGTTGATCACGGCGATCAAAGTATCCAATAATTATACGTTTTCTTGAGTCCAGATTTTCTAAATCCTTTAACGATTTGAACTCTTTAATAGGATCCTCTAGCTGTTTACGTACAAAATCTAAAAACGCTTCTGCTGAACGTTGCCCCCGGTATTCGCGTTTACTTAATTGACCATTACGTATAATTTTCAGTGTTGGGTATTTTGTAATATGAAAACGCGATGCGATTGATGTTTCACGATCACAATCGACCCTGCCAAGTACAACTTTTCCAGCTTCTGGGAAAGCCTCTTTGACCTTTAATTATAGATAATTTTAATATTTTTTTTTTAAAATTTTGTGTATAATATTAGTAAATATTGTGTGTACTTACCTTATCAGCGGCTTCATTGAAAATTGGCGCTAGGAGATTACTGAATCGACACCATTCGGCATAGAAATTAAGAAAAACCAGTTCGTTGGAAGCTGTTAACAAGCGAGATGAATGCATATTTGATTAGGTAACGAATATGTGATATATGTACATGTAAGTATGCATAGAAAAATATACTATGACCAGCACAGAAGAGAAAGTAATTAGTGTAAATTTATGCAAATGTGAAACAGTCGAAACGCTGGGTGAACTTACAATAAGTTAATGTTTTTAAAAATATTTTTTTTAAGGGTTGTTTGAGGGTCTTACGGAAATATGGATCAATTGTAACTATCAATCTCATTCGCGTAGGGGATTTTCGGAGCGTCAATAAAAACATATGACATGTTCATATATATATATATATATATGTTTATTTGTTATATATTATACGGAATTATATTTTCAGACTCAAGTAATATACTGTTTTTGTTTGTAATTTCCTATATAATTATTTCAGAACAATGGAACAGCTGTTTCAACAACATTATAAGATAGAACAATGATTAAGATAATGAAAGGTCTAAAATTTCGTTGTTCAGCAAAATTTTATATATTTTTGATAAAATATCCTTTAGTATGATACTATTGAAGAAATTAAGGATCTAAATTTCTGTAATAGTGATGGATATACAAGACTAGTTAGGCTGTGGCAGCTACAAAGCCAATAAAGTTAAAAAAAACCTCTGAACTTCTGTTTTTTGTAGTCATTTTTGGCATTTTCAAATTGTTTGTGCCCATTGCAAATATATAATATATCAACATATAAATATACTAACAAACATTGTTTAATAAATATTTGTACATGTACATATAAATATATATTCACATATATGTACATATAATAGGTATGACGCATGTATATAAAGTAAAATATATGTATGTTTTTTATCAACCTCGTCAACTTATGGTTCACAAGTCCACCTGAACTTCTCACCGCAAGAGACGATAGTTGGCAAGCATTATAATATAAACTTTTTACTCTTTTTGGGCCAGTACGCCCCCATTTACAGCTTATCTAACCGAAAAGTTCGTTTCTATTAATACAGGTGCTGGGAAAAATCAGAGGTCATAGCCTGATGAGCAACAATTACCTACTGCATTTAAAAATATGTATTTCTAAATAATAAATATCTGCAAGTGATAAACATTTGGAATACCGTTGTTTTGAAAACCTTATGTGAAAAACGTTACTTAAAACTACTCAGATGTTATTTTCACTATATTTCAAGCCATAAAATATTAACAGCTTGATTTTGCATGAATGCTTACACACCGGTATTGACACGTCAAGACGAATATAAACTGTAAAGTGTGATAAGCGTGTTGGTACTCCTTTATGCTACCAAAGTTCTTAATATTTACGCGAAAAACCAAATACTTTGTACATACCTAATGTCATATCAATGTTTTCACTGGTCATGTCCACCGCTCCCGAATCGGTAGGATTATAAAGAACGTAAATTACCTGAAATATTCATAATATTTAAATTAATGTTATGAATAAGTATTAACGAAAACTTTCCAGAAATCAGTCAGAAACGTTTTATAAATGCGGCCACACATATTTTGGCTTCTGCTACTTACCATAAATATTGCTAAGCAGCGGCATTTTTGACTGCTATAAAACTGCATTTTAATAAACTTTTTATTAAATATGTGTAAATAAATTAAACGGATTTGCTAAAAGTATTTAGACGTGTATGAAAAAAATTACTGCCACCCTACATTCACTTATTTCTCTTTACTTCATGTTGCTTATTCAGTGATATCCGTCAAATATTATGCGTCAATTTTTTGGCAGTAACCAATGTTGCGTACTCTATATAATTGAATTAAGTTTTTTTGCGATTATACATTAAAACTTAACTTATAAAATAAAAATTAATCATTTATATTGTTTCCAAAAAATTGTATGCAGAAATAAGTCCATTGAGTTAAGTTTTCAAATATATTTGCATTGCTCCTCACAATTGTTCTTTCTCAAGAAGTAATTTCAAACTTATTGAAGTTTTAGTTTGCGAAATACAACATTTATAAAAACTTACAAAATAGTATCTTATTAATATTGAACTTAACTACACAGTTTTTTATAACTCAATTATAATCAAAAGCTGTTGTGAAAATTTCTCTATCCACAATCTGTTTAAAATTCTTAACAGCTTTTACTGCTGCTTGTTTTGATGCACATAATTTTACTGTAAAACGCTGGCATCTCCTCCGTTATTTGCTTATGCTTGATCATGAAGATAGCTGTGATTCCAGGTTCTCATAAGTAAAATGTAATTGTTGTAGCGTTATTGGGACAGCGCATTTATATTATTTTTTCTTCATTAATATTTGTTCTAATATGAAAATGGTACTCAGATACTAAAAATTGATTGTATAATGTCAAGAAGTTTCGTTTTTAAAAGAATGAAAATCTAAATCGTATTATATACGAAATACATTTGAAGAAAAATTGCACTTAGTGACAAAAGAAAAAAGCCAAAGCAAATGAAGTAAAAGTGCAAAGGATAAACAGAAAAATGAAGTAAATCGCGAATACATAATTAACCATACAAAGGCTGAATCAAGACGCATAAAATATAGCAGTGGAGAAATAATCATAAAAATAAACTCATATTTTTTCTTCCTTTCACCGTACATTTAATTAGTGCGTTTTCTGTCGCGATCAAGGATTTACCGCATACTTAGAAACATATGCATATTATTGCATATAACATACATTGAATTCTTGGTGCAGTTGCATAAAAAGTGTAGCTAACACGCGGACGGTAAAATTCTACAAAAATATAAAGAAAATTTACAATATACTGAGATATATATTGGGTAAGTCTTCGAATTTACGCGTACATCATTAGAATGATAAGTTTTTTTTTTTGTAATTATTTATTTTTGGCATAAGCGATTGTTGCTACGGTTAATATTTCCAATTATGTCGGATTATCTTACTTGCGAGGCTCTATTGGACTTTGAACTCTAACACCGGCTTTAGCGATCTCATTACAGCAGTTGTAGTTACCCAAAAGAGTACTTTGAATGAATTTTTTTGTTCGAACTGGCATTGCAGTTAGTTTCCAAATTAACATTATATGTAGGCTATATTTTGGTTAAACATTTGTTCCTATTCTTGTGTAACTACAACTATTAAAAAAAAGAAGAAAACAGTAAACCATAACTGCGTAAAAACCATTGAGAAATACTCTGAAAATTAGTACTTAATTTTTCTTATTTTTTTCGCATTTGCCAAAATCATTGGAACTTTTGAATAATCGCCTTTTTTTATTCGCACATGTTCATACGTACATATTTATGTACATATGTATGTACGTACATACATATGTAAATATATGTAGGTATATATAGTTATATGCGTAAGTCATATTTGTCATCTATATTATATGCTATATATTTTTCTAGCTTTTACTTGGTTTATTGTGTTTTGTATTTGTTCAAACAATTGCAAATTTACAATATTCTCTTCAACATCATCGTCTACTTTTCACGAAATTCGCAAAGTCATATCTTTTGGCCTATTCGTTTTCGATTATTTCTACGAGTAACTGCGTTTTTGTAATTTGTTTATTTATTCTTTGTTGCGAAAAACATGTTCAAAAGAGAGAAAGGTTAGAATTGTTTATACGAATTTAATTACAGTTATACATACATATGAATGTACATGTATCTGTATATTTTCATATAATTATTATTATTCCCAATTACCTTGCACAGCATCAAGTTAGCTCTCATTTACATACTTACTTCTTTTTTTCTTGGAATTCTGTGCCTACATATATTTGTGTAAACATATGTACACATGTATGTACTTAAATCATTTTGTGAAAACGAAGAAGAAATGAAAACAAAGAGCTCATAAATTCGCACTGTAAGAATGCGAAAAAATTTAAATAATTTTATAAACTGCATACGTCTTGTGGATTTAATACATGTGAAAAAATTAAGCATTTCAAGCAGGTTCTGTTGAAGCACACCCACATGTAAATTTTTTCATAGTTGCTTATGGTAATTAATTTCAAGGTTTGTTGAACAATTCATTACCTACGCACCTTATTTTAAGTTTCCCTTTGTTATTATTAAAAAAAGTGCGGTGATAATGCGTTTCGCCTTTTGTTTTTTTTTCCTTTTTTTTTGCAATTTGTTGCATTTTTAACCAGTTTATTTATCCAGTATTTCAACAACATTTTCAGCAGGTTGTTGAACCCAATTGTCAACTTTCAACATCCATATGTATCAATCCACATATAAATATACTTACTCTTAATTAAATGAAAATGTATGTAAAAACGAAAAATTTACAAATTTTTGTACCTACCTACAATCGTAAAACTGTAATATGTGTGTATTTATACACATAGTACATGCTTCAGAGTTTATGAACATTTTGGCATATTTAATAGCTAAGGTCGAATTCGCATTTACATATTCATTACAGAAAAAATTGTAAATATGTATATACAAAAAAGAAATGCTGAATATATTTCATTCTGTTTGCAAATGAATGAGATAAGATTTTTCAAAGCAAAAAAGTACGTACGAGTGCATATATGTACATATTATCATTCATTGTAGATAACAAATTTTAGCTTGTATTTTGCGCACACTTGGCGAAAATTCGCAAGTCGCGTCTAGGAAAAAGTTTGTTTTATGTATACATCTTTTATTTACATTATTGGTTATTCATTTTTTGTTATTTCTATTTTTTCGCAATTTACTTTTTCATGAACTGACATATCTATGTGTGTATGCACATATGTACATAGTATATAACAAATTGCCATTACTGCAGTGCCGATCATCAAATATAATATAAATAATAGTCAAATTTCATACCAAAGAAATGGAAATTTTTAAACATATGTACATACATATGTACATTCTATGTACACACATATACTTATATGCTAGTGTTCTTTGAGCATATTTATAATTATTATTATCAATCATCTAAGTCAAACACATACAATTAATTGTACATTTTATCTCTTTAATGACATTTTAGTGTTATATTTGTTGTTTTTTTTATTATTAAAATAACATTATATTGTGGGTTTTGATTTACTGTTTCTTATTTACTGCTTTTAAGCATAAGTAATCATTTGTACATGTTGTTCTTGTTATTGTTGTGTTGTAACCGCAAAAATATTCCCCAAAAAATGCTGCGGGAGTGAAAGTTCTTGGCCGGATAAAAATTCGGGTCGTTCCGGTATAAAAACCTGACTGTCGCGGTTACTATTGGATTTTAGTCGCCTCTTACGACAGTCATGCCTTACCGCGGGTAAATTCTTGAACACCTAACCCGCAGGGGTTTGTACAAGTAATATCCCAAGCTCATTTTACTTAACTTTCTTTGTTTATTGGGCATTTTTGTTTCCTTTTAGTTTTCATAATAAACCTACGTACATATGTACGTCCATACATACACACTAATTGAAATTGTTTGTACGTAAATATTTATTTATTCAATATTTTTTAGTAGAAGCAAGTTGTTGTTGGCACAATTAGCAATAACTGCATAAATTTTACATTCACTGTACTTGTTGCAATCACAAATAAATGTTTAGGGCGCCAGCTAATTATTTATGAATAAATAACGAGCAGAAAATTACCCGCAGGTACATAATGTACTTACTTACATACATATGTATGTATGTAACACTGTAACATAAACCCTAGTAGCCAACTATGGGTAGCAAGCAAAATGCAATCACACTAAATAATTTATAGTAAATTATATACATATGTAAATATTTTTTATTTTTATTCATTGAATCAAATTAGAACATTTTGTGGTGGATCATATTAAATAGAATTTTCCTCGCGATCAATCTTGACCTTTAGATGAAACTGTTTAATCAGCCGACATAACCACGACTTGACACATTATAAGAAAATAATAAGAAAACAATTTACTTGATTTGTTTATTTTACGCGTGCAAGTATGTTTTAAGTTGGAATAAAATAAAAATAAAAAATTAATAAAATATAAAAATATTAAAAATATAAAAGTTTGAAAAAAGACATTTAAAAATTGAAAAGATATATAAATATATACGAAAAAAAATTTATAAAAAGTATAAAAATTATAAAAGTATAAAAAGCATTAAAAATATTTTCATAAATACATTTATGTACATACATACATATGTATATAAAAAACTAAAATTAAATGAAAAAATATAAAATTTTAAATAGTAGATAAAATAAAACAGAGTATAGAATTAAAAGAAAAATACAAAATATTTAAAAAATATACAATAAAAAAGATATAAAAATTTAAAAACATATAAAGATAACGTAATAATATCAAAAATATGGAAAACTATAAAAACGATGGAAATATATTAAAAAATAAAAAAAAACCCCAAAAAGGATAATAAATAAAAAAAATGTTAAAAATTAAAATAAGTAATATTATATATATAGTAACTATTAAAATACAAAAAAAGTAAAAATATAATAAAAATAAAAAAGAAATAAAATAATTATAAAACTTTCTAAATATATATAAAATAAAAAATTTATAAAGAATATGAAAATATTTAAAAAAATTATAATATATGAAAAGATATGTAAATTACATAAAAAAATTATGAAAAATATAAAGTTTATAGAAAAATATAAATATATAGAAAAAAAATGTAAAAATATAGAAAAAATATAAAAATATAGAAAAAATATTAAATTATAGAAAAAATATCAAAATATAAAAAAAAATAAAAAAAATATAAAAAAAATAAAAAAAAATATAGAAAAAAATAAAAAAATATAGAAAAAAATAAAAAAATAAAAAAAAAATATAGAAAAAAAATAAAAAAATATAGAAAAAAATAAAAAAAAAAACAAAAAAATGCAAAACACTAAAAAAATATAAAAAAATAAAAAATATATAAAAAATATGAAAAACAAAGATATAAAAAAATAAATATGTGGAAAAAAATAACAATGTGGAAAACTATAAAAAAATGAAAATATATAAAATAAATTTGCAAAAAGTATAAAAATAATGAATATTTGAAAGAAAAAAGGAATATATTACAAACGTAAAAAGTAAAAATAAATACGTCTTCTATTAAAAAATATAAAAAAGCGAAAAAATATTAAAAATAAAATATGAGGAAAAATATTAAAATATTTATATTCAAAAATAGAAATAAAAAAGATTCTAATAATGTATAAAAGTTATAAAAACGTATAAAACATATACAAAATATAAAGTATAATAATAAAAGTATAAAATTAAGAAAATAAAAAAATAAATACAAATTAAAAAAAACGTAAAACAAAAAAAAATGTAAAAAAAATAAAATAAACAAAAGATAGATATATAATGAAAATTATAATGAAATAAAGAAAAAAATAATGATATGAATAAAAAAACTTAAAAGTTAAAAAAAAAAAATGTAAAAAATATGTAATGAAAATAATAATAATATAAATAAAATAATAATTCTGTAATGAAAATAATAATGATATAAAGAAAATAGAAGAATATAAAAAAATAAAGAAAATAATAAAATAATTTATCTATCTTGAAAAACAAAAAAAAAATAAAAACATATAAAACAAAAGAAAAAAATATGAAATGTAACAAAAATTACAGAAAAATAAATGTTTTATAAATCAATTAAAAAGAAATGGAACAAAATTAAAAAGTGTATAAAATATTTTCAAAAATATGACAATAAAAAAAGAAGTAGTAAAAAAACCAAAATCAAAGAATGTACAAATGCATATCTCAATATATAAATGCGTTTTGCCTATCTGGCTAAATACTGCTTTACTCTATTTTTGCAAATTTATTTTTAGCC